TTGAAGTTCAAAGAGTTATCTTTCAAGACAAAAATTTAATCTGGTGGGAAAGGAGGATCCAAACAGAAAGGGAGCCTACAAATAACATGAAGTAAAACATTTAGTAGAAAGCATGAGTCCCACAAATGATAGTTTTTGTTAAGCAGGTAACATAAGCCATAAGAATGACCAAAATATATTGATCAGTCATAACCAAAAGTCTAAAGTAAGATAAGCTTCAGTTTTGCAATATTTAATTGTAGTTGAACAACAACATCATTATCATCATCATCATCTTCATGCTGCAAAATCCAAGGTTGACTGAGAAATATCAAAAAACATCAAGAGATCTCCCTGAACCTAAAATCCTGGGTGGCAGGAAGATAACAGCAGAAAGAGCAGAGAATTCAGAGTCAAAGAGACTGGACAAAATCCCAGTCTTTCCATTCACTGTGTAACTTTAAGTAAGTAATTTCATCTCTTTGAGCCTTCGTTTCCTCACACATAAAATGAAAAAACTGAACCAGATGAACTCAAAAGTCCCTCCCACCTCTAAATCTAAGATATTATTATGATCCTTTACATAGAGATTACTACTACTTCACCATTTAGAAGGACAAAAACAAATACAAACAGACCCTTAAAAAAAGAAACAGATAATTTAGCTATAGTACACATTTAGGGGCAGCTAGGTGGCACAGGGGATAGCGCACCGGCCCTGAAGTCAGGAGTACTTGAGTTCAAATCCGGCCTCAGACCAAACACTTGACACTTACTAGCTGTGTGACCCTGGGCAAGTCACTTAACCCCAACTGCCTAAAAAAAAATAAATAAAATACACATTTATATACATGAACGTGCCATCAGAAAGATTAGAGATTTAGAATATACTTTTGCTAACAAGCAAGTACCACTCCAATGTCACTGTGACACAGAAGGGAACCTAGATTCTCTACAGCTATGCCAGCAGAGCTCTAAAGAGTTCTACACCAAGGGAGAAAGTGTGGGCCTGGTGACAAACTTTTATATCAAAGGATAGCCTAATGTATAAGGAACCTCAACACTGGAAGGTTGGCTAGCAGGCCACATTTCTTGCTACCATAATATAGAAAATTGACAAAAATACAGAAGAGCTCTCCTAACTTGATTTGAGCCCATTTCTTCTTCTCAAGAGATAGTTGCAAAGTTGTGGAAAAGGAGAAAGTGATAAAAATTACAAAATTCTTAAATTAATGTCTGTGGATGATCTGTGAGTATTAAGTAACTTATCCTTATCCAACAACCAATGAATGTACACTACAAAATTTTTTTTGTGATAGCAAATAACTGGAAACAAAGCATATATTCATCAAGTGGGAAAACTACCAAACAAATTCAAGGCAATGGAATATTTCTGTGGCATGTGAAAAGATGAACTCAATGAATACAAAGAAGTATAGAAAGTCTTATATGAACTGGTGCAAAGTGAAGCAAGCAAAATTAGGGAAGCAATAATATACAGAATGACTCCACAACAATGTAAATTCAAACAGCTACCACCAGAGGACTCTAAAATTGAATACTTCAAAATCACAAAGAACATGCTTGACCTCAAAGAAGAGATACAAGAAATTATCTTCCCTCCCCTCTTTCCCTCTTTATAAATGTTGGAGTTCAAAGGTATGAAAAATTGCATATAATGCCAAACTTTTTCCATGTCTTAAACGGTCTTAATTTTTTTCCCCTCTCCCTTTTTTCTTTCTTTAGAAAAAAAAATTTGTTATAAAGGATGGTTTTCTAAGAAAGGTAAAGTAAATAGTAAGAAACCTAGTCAATGTAAAAAACAAAAGATATCAATAAAATCTATGTACAAAAAATGCCATCCTCCTAATGTTTACCACCTTTGTTAAAGTCTTAAGGGGTCTCCTGAACTTGTCTTTTTGAGATGCCATATTTTCAGAGTATGCAAAAGGCCCCCCAGCTGACATAATCTGTTGTTTGTATCCTAAACTGGACTCTCTGTGTGTCTTTGGGAGTCAAGATGGGCACCAGCCAGTCTGTGCCAGGCTAGGAAATTTGCTTGTGCAGCTGGGACCCTATAGATATGCAGACCTCCTATCTTCATAGTCCAACAGTTCCCAAGGGAAAAGAATGCAGTTTCTGCCATCACCTTGCTCCTCCCCTTTGGGAGGGGTTTTCTTTTTCCCACCTTTACTGTACTTTTTTCCCTCCCATGCCACGCCCCTGAAGGTGGAGTTCTGTGTTTCCACCTCCTTCCTTTTTCATTTCTCTTGTATTAAACCTAGTTTTCATGTAAGTTTCAGAAGTTTTGATTGCCTTGTTAACACCTTCAACCCAAGGTCATGCCCAAAATCTATCTTCTCTGATACTACTTCTTACCCATTGAATAATGCAAGATGAATTCAAGAAACTAAAGACTGAGCCCACAAAATTCATGTTCTCTAACCTCAACCAGGTTCTCACTGATCCACACATAACAAACCTTTTACATCTCTCAGGCAGTTAATATAATCCCCAAAACAGGTGTTCCAAATCTTCTGTTCAAATCTTTAATTCCACACCCACCTAGATGACTAGATGATCTCATCTCCTACTATACTAAGAAACTGAGGCTATTTCCTTTGAGCTCTCTCATTTCCCTTCTACCTTACCTCAAAACCTCCAGAAATCATGTATCATCTCCTTCATGGCTCTAAAGCCAAAGGAAGAGGTAGCCAAAGCTAACCTCATCACCTGTGCTCCTGACTCTTTCCAGTATCCTCTGGGGGACTGGCCTTTCAATCATTACCTCTCTCATCTATAATCTATAGTAGCTCACACCATAAGGCAACCAATGTGCTCAGGTCTCCCCTATGCTTAAAGAACCTTTGCCTGGACCCCACCTCCTCAAACTACAATGTTCTCTCTCTTCCTTTTCACTGATAAGTTACTACTAAGTAATCTACATCTACTTTCTCAGTTTCCTCAACATACATTTACTCCTTAACTCCTTGGAGTCCAGCTAAGGATACCACTTCTTTATCAAAAACAGCAATTACCTTTTAACTGTGTTCCTCTTCAGTCTCCTATAATAGTAGTCTCTCTTTCCCAAGCTCTGCCTCCTCAGCCCTTTTCTCTACCTTCTCTCCTTCAGTGAATTCATTTACTTCCCTCTCTCCTTTCCCTCTGTCCACATGGGGAATTATACCCTTACATGTGAATGCTCTGCCCAAAGGCATATCAATTTTAATCACTCGGACCTTGCAAGATATCTTGGGATTTGGGGGCTAATTTTTTTTTCTCTTCTCTACATATTTATTCTGTTTTTTTTTAACTGGAACACTTAACTCTTTTGCCCCATGTAGCTTCATTTATGATTTCTTGAAACATAGTTCTGAAAAAGCAGGATTTAATAAAGCCCATTGGGATTCAATGGAGCTACTAGACTGCCTTAAACCCAAATCACTATGGCTCTGACTGATTGACCTAGTAACAGGTCCCAGTCTCAGCCCAAGCCTGACGTGATCATTGTTTGGGTTTTGATGGTTCAGAGTGAGTACAAATAGCAATTGTTTCTGTTATGGCCAGAAACCCTGAGGGTCTTCCTCTCCCAGACTGATTGATTTTTTTGGGGGGGGGGGAGGGACAGGGGGAAAGAAGCAGGCAAATTAGGCCATCTCACCTAACCTTAAGTCACTGAATGGGTGTTGCTGACTCATACAAACTGAGACCTGGGAAAAAACCTAAGTTTAAAAAGGTCAAGGTCTCCCACTGTATCTGGGGCCACCTCCAGTCATCCTGACCTATGTCTTGCCAGTGGATTCAGAAGACTCTGGAGAATCCACTGAGGCTGATGACCTTGTACAGCCCTAGCTCACTTAAGTCACCCTCCTGATGTCATTGTTACTCTTCAAGAAGGAAGGTGGAACAACAGTAAACAGTACTTCCACACATGAGACTCCCAAATCTATATATTTAGCCTTAATGTTATACTTAAATTCCAGTCCCACGTGGCCAACTCAAGGTTCTGCTAACAATTAGAACGATGTTCAAAATGGAACACTAGCTTTCTTCCAAACTTTCACTTCCACTCACCTTCCCTTTTCATTGATCAGATCGCCATCTTCCCAGTCACCAAGTTTTTTTTGAATCTACCCTTTCTCACATTCATTTCTGTCAATTATAACTCCACCATATCTCTCACATTTCTCTCCCTCTCTCCACTCACATGGCCACCATCCTAGTTTAGGACCATTACCATTCAACTGAAAACAATTTGCTTAAATAAAGCCTCCTAATTGGTTTTCTGCCTCCAGTTTCTTTCTTCTCAAATCCATCCTTTTCTATACCACCAAAATAATTTTCCTTAAGGACAGACCATTTCATTTCTCTACTCAAAAACCAATTGAATAGCTCCCTACTATCTCTAGGGCAAAGTAGAGACTCCTTGGTTATGTATGTAAAGTTATACACAATCTGGTTCCCACTTATCTTTTCAGCCTTATTTCACATTACTCCCTTTAACAAACTATATAATCCAGCCAAATAGTACTAACTGTTCCCCAATCTTGTCTGGCCCTCTTCAGTTGAATAGCCTGTCTCCCTATGCCTAAATTACATTGTTTTTTCAGTTCTAATTTTGGAATCATTCCATTCCTATCAAAATCAATGCGAGTGCCAGCTCTTCCAGGAAGCCTTCCAAATCCACCTTACTGGGTGGGAGACAACACCCAGTGGCTTCCCTCCTCACATCCTTCTGGCCTTTTCAAGACAGATAGATAGATAGATATACGTATACAGACACACATACATATATATATATACATATACATATAACGGCAGAGATTCTAATTCTCACTCCTTCACTATCCCAATCCAAATAAAACGAAACCTCTTTATTACCAGTACCTCACACATAATAGCATTTAAATATCTGAGAAGCTGAATAAAAGTGTAATTTTCCAGTTAGGACAGTTCATTCATTTTAGCCTTTCCAATCATCAAAAATATACAGTATTTGTAAGGGAGAAAAAAAGCCTTACCTATCATTAGAGCAATACCTATTCCTAGCAACTGTTGAAACAGCAACAGGTAGGCCAAGACTTGAAGAAATGCTGACATTTTCAAAAATCCCACTGTTGTTACTGGTCAGTGAATTAGTTATGGAGCTTGGAAATGACTCATCAGCTATGCGTCGAAAGTTTTCCATCACACTGTATAAAATTTTTTAAAAATCAAGTTACAACATTCTTCCAATAATTAAATCACAAGTTTTAGAAAATCAAAATAGCATTTGCTATCATGAAAGGGTTTATTCTCTCAAATACTCCCAAAGTAATCTTGCATGAAAATGCATACATTTTTTATGTTCACTAGCTATATCAAATCATTTTATATTTAACAAACCAAACCACTGAACTATTACAGGAAATAATAAATTACTATAATAATGAATTATTAGAGAATGCAATCTTTACTTAAAGTATTTTTTGTTGTTCAGTATTGTCCAACTCTTCTAGGGTTTTCTTGAGAAAAATATTGGAGTGATTTGTCATTTCCTTTTCCAGTTTACTTTTACAGATGAGGAAACTGAGGCAAACAGTGTTAAAGCGACTTGCCCAGGGTCCCACAGCTAGTATGTACCTGAGGCCATATTTGAACTCAGGTCTTCCTGACTCTATTAAGAAATTATTGTTCTCTAGGACTAATTCTTTACAGGATCTCATTTCCCTCTGTAATCCTTAGCAGTTTGGTTGACTTTTAAAAAACCATAAAACAATGCTATTTTTAAAAAATCTTACCAAATAGGTACACAATAATTGTTTTCTCTCTCTACCTAGCATCTCTTGAAAGCAATAACTCGAAATTTCATATTTGTATTATTTCAGCACTTACTTTCAATGTTTCTTCAACTTTGTCCTATTTTAACATAACTTGTATAATTTTATGCAGCTATTAAAATCTCATTAATCGCAAAGATCAAAACACTTTAAACACTTTAAAGTTTATAAAAGAAAAATCAAGTTCCAGAAGCAAACTTTACAACTTATTTGAAATATGTTATAATTAACATGCATCCAGTTTATTAGCCATCAGAACCCACCTTAAATTCTACCCACAAAACTGAGACTGGTAGAAGTAGATTTTTTAAAAATGCCAACAGCAAGATGACCTCAAAATGCTAACAGCAAAAGGAAATGTGTCAAGATAGCCACAGGTGTCATCCAAATGACTTCTTAGAACGGGACCTCATCCTTACCACAGAAAACCTGAAAAGAGAAAATAAGCGTACCATTAAACGTACTCTTCTTATTTGTATTCCCAAGCACTTAGCAGAGGGCTTTACACAGAGTAGGCCCTTAATAAAAGCTTTCATTCATTCAATCAATCTCACGTTCCTCACAAGCTGGTCTATGTTATTATAAGGGTCAAAACCTTGCCAAGCAGTCACCGAGCCATAAAAATGACCAGCTTCCAGAGTCCTACCAGCTGACAACCTCAAAACCCTTCAGACTCTGGATGACACCACTTCCCCCAAGCAGCCCCTGCAAACGCCAGCCTCCGGCCCACTGCTCTCCCAGCAGCGGGCTACAGAGCTGGCCCTGCCGTAGGCCGCGGGCCCCGGCTCCGGCCGCGGGGAGCGGGGGGGGGGGGGGATGAGAATGGACCTGGGCCGCTCCAAGATCAGCGTATTTGAAATGAGGCGCCTTTCATGGACCCCCGCCCCAGAACGGAAAGGAAATGGGAAGAAATCATCAAAGACTCACGTTTTTCTTAACGCTTTAAGATTTACAAAGCGCTTTGCTCGCGACAACGTGGTGAGGTAAGTGGGGTCAGTATTATTAGGTGAGCTGGGCCGAGGGGTAGAAGAGGAGGAGGAGAGGGAGGGGGCGGGGGCTGGGACTCCCGCGTTCCACAAGCCCCGCCCCCCCACGCGAGAGCGCGAACCCTGCCCCTCTCCCTTCCACAGCCGCGGGCACACGTAGGGAGCTTCGCCGCAGGCAGCTGGCCCGAGATCTGAGTCTTAGGGGCCAGTCGCCGGACCGAAAGCCGCCAACGGGCCGCCGCCTCCCTCCCTCCCCTCCCCTGTCCCAGAGCTCCACGGGCTCTGCGCCAACTTAACCGCCCCTCGCTCCGCAGGCGGCCTCCCCCGACCCCCGCCAAAGCAGTAACGGCCAGACGGGGGGCGATGCTTAGCCTACCTCTTCTCTACCCGAAACAGGGGCAGCGACGTGGAGCAAGGAATGGAAGGGAAGCAAAGCAGGGCCCGGGGGCGGCCAAGCTTCTCGTCTCCGCCTCGTATTGTGCTCGGGAGCGGCAGGAAGATTGACCGAGGGCAGAGGGAGAGAGATGAAGCGAAGAGGGAACCGGGTCATTGTGCGCAGGCGCAAAAAGCTTCTTCGCCACTCTACCACAGTGTTCTGCGATACGAAACCCGCCCTTTCCGCCCAGGCGGTACTGCCGAGCCCACGGAAAAGGCTCCCGGTTGGCTGGCGCCGGAAGAGGGGCGGGGCAGGTCGCCCGCGATGCCTGCTGATTGGGCAAGGGAAGCACAGCTATGGTATTTGAAGTCAAATAGAAGCGCGCCCCTAAAGGAGTGGGAGAGTAGTCTACTTCGCCGCATCACCTGATGAGGAATTTCCAGTGCAGTCTTTCCTCTCTTTGGACGGAGATAAAGACTTCTGGTTGTAGGCCGGACTAAGCCTAATAGCGGCGGCATAAAGAAAAGATATGCTCCTAGTCTTTGCTGCAGTGCTTATCTCATCTAGGGCACAAAGAATCCATAGTTCCTGTGAATAATCTACCCAAGCAGCCGTGTTATTTTAAATTTAAATAATGCTTTTTACTTTACAAAACAGTAAATCATTTTTTTATTCTAACAAGAACCCAGTGAAGTAGGTAGGGCATACTGTATCCCGTTTTTACAAAAGAGGAAGCTCACTTGGAAAAGAATCCAGTGATTGTGTTACAGGGGCTGGTGAGTGATAAATCGTGATTAAAATTTCCCGAGTGTGCAGACCAATGTTTCCTCAAACTACAAACGAGCCAGTAAAATATCGAAATTCTCGACCTCAGAGGTCTCTGCACTAGGCAATTCATTAATTTATAGCTGAAAGGAACCTTACCTTTCAGCAGTTGAGAAGCTCAAAAGGAACCAACTGTGAGAGAAGCACTACACAGAAAGGCTTCCAGTCTTTCATTATAGCAGTAACTCACTCGTGGGGCCTTGAAAGCCGGTGTGTAAAGCCTGGCTAGTCCTGTTATGCTGGAAAAGCTTACAATCAAAAAGCATTTATTAAGCACCTATTATGTGCCAAGCCCTTAGCTAGGCCCTAGGGATGCAAAAACAAAAGTGAAAGTCCCTGCCCTGGAGGAGTTTACAATCCAAAGGAGGAGGAACCGTTTACTTACAAAGAATGTACAAAACAGACAGGATAGGAAGTTTAAGGAGGAGCACGGAAGGAAAACATATTACAGAGGTGGAAGAAATGTATTTATGCCATATATGGAGAAGACAGGGGAGGCGTACCAGCAAGTCAGCTTGTGCAAAGGCAAGGAGACAGACAGGATATAGAGTTCGATTTAAGAGGAGAGATTAAAAGGAAAAGTAATTTGACTCCAAAGTGATGTGTGTGAAGGAGGGTACTGAGTAATTAGTCCAGAAAAGTAGGTAGGAACCAGGTTGTAAAGATCTTTAAATGCCAAAGGAATTCTATTAGATTCTAGAAGTGCTAGCCATTGGATTTTAAGTAGGGTGGGACATGATCCTACCAACACTTTAGAATTAATAAAAACATTTTAGCCGCTGTGTAAAAGATGAATAGGAATGGAAAAAGATACAGAGACCAATTGGGCAGTTATAATTTGAGCCCAGGTGAGAAGCACCTGAACCTTAGGCATCTACAACATGAATGGAGAAAAGGGAACTGATAGGAAATATGTCCAAATAGAAACAAGATCTGGCATCTTATTGGAAATAGGGGCTGAAGGAGAGCAAAGAGTCAAGGATGACATTTACCTTGCAAACATGGGTGAGAGAAGTGGGTGCCTTTAACAGAAAGGTCAGAAATTTTTCAGAGTGAATTCTGAGGGGAAAATAAGATCACTTTGGGACATACAGATTTTGTTATGGTCATCCAGTTTGAAATGTACAATAAGGAAGTTGTTGAGGCTAGATTGGGACAAAGAATACTTGGACCAGATATATAGACCTTGGAACCATCTACATAGCCATCTACATAGTGATAATTAAACCCATGTGAGTTAATGAAGTCATCAAGTTAAAGACTATAGGGGGGAAAAAGATAATAGAGGCTTGAGGTACACTAACAGATGTGCATTAAGGATAAGCTAGCAAAGGAGAAAGAGAAGGAATGATCAGACAAGATAGAAGAATCAAGAGAACAGTGATAACCAAAAAAAAAAAAAAGTTGAGTACTCAGGAATAGGGAGGCCAAAAGTGTCAAATGGTGCAGAAATTCAGTCAAGAATAAGCATCATTGCCAACATTGGAGAGAGCAGTTTCAGTTGAATCATGAGGTTGGAAATAACCTAGAGAGAGAAGATAGCTTTTTCTAAGACTTTGGCTGAGAAAGAGAGGATACAGGGAGATAGTTTGAAGGGAATAGTAGGGTCTAGCAATATTTAGCCATGTTTGTGGGCAGCAGGGAAAGAACCAGTAGATAAGAAGAGACTGAAGATTAGAAAGAAAAGGTATGATTGTAGGGAAGATCTGCAAGATAAAACAAGACAAAGGATGTAATGTAGAAAAGTTGTTCCCATAGATAGGCCTAATGAGATAGATGGTATGTCTATAATCAGAAGACCAACCGATCCAAGTTTGGAGTAATATCATCAAGGTGACCACAGGATGAATTTTTCAATCTAGCCATTACAAGAAAGGAAGGCCATATACTGAGTTATAGAGGTTACGACTAGATTAAAGGTACACCCACACTGAAATTACAGATGGTTGAAGTTCTGTCAGTCACTTTAAACAAACATCATTTAAGCTATTACAATGGGCCAGGCTCTGTGCTAAGTGCTAGAAATACAAATATGAGGGGAAAAAAAGTCCCTTGCCCTCAAGAACCTTATATTCTACTGGTGAAGACTATACATAAAAGAAAACTTAAAAGGGAGGTGAAAGAAAGAAGGTACCTGGAAAGGAAACAATGGAGAAGTCCAGAGGAGTGCAGCCTGGTGGGAAATGAGATGGCTATCCAGGGTACCCTCTTTAAATGGAGTTTCTGGGAGGAGCTATCGAATCTGCCCCACGAGCTTTTACCCAGGTTCTTCGGAGGTATGAATTATGAATGCAGAGCGAGAGAGCCGAGAGTGTGTGTGTTAGCATATTCTCTCTTCTACTTTCCCACTGTAACTCCAAATTTTCTCTAGGTTCAGACAAAAAGGAAAATTAATTCCTAGAACATTTAGCTAAATGTGGACCTCTAGTCAAAACAGAGGTTTTTAATCTATTTTGTCATGGAGTCTTTCAGTTTGTGTTTTTAAACACATAAAATAAAATACAGAGGATTGCAAAGGAAACCAATCATACTGAGAATTATTTAAAAAAAAAAAACTTGACCTCTGTTGAGGTCAAGAACCTCAACTAAAATTTGTAATCCTATTTTGATGACTAGTAACCTTTTACCTCTAATCTTAACTATTATAACTACAGTAAGGCACTGTCAAGGGGAAGGCATGGTTTGGACCCATGAATATACTGCCCCTGCATTTTTGGCCTGGGCAAAATGGGAGAGACCGTCTTAAAAAAACAACAAAGGGCCCACAGAAGCTGTATTATCCAAATTATATCTTGGACAACCATTTCCTCTAACCTACCTGGCAAGTGGTCATCCAATCTTTGAAGATTTCCAGAGTATGATAACCCACCATCTTCCAAAAGCAGTCCATTCCCTTTCTGGATAGCTCTAATGTTTTACTTTGGTTTTTTCCCCTTAAAACCTTTATCTGACTCTTTGACTTCCACCCATCATTCCTAGTTCTGCTTTCTGGGGCAATGCAAAACAGATAATAATAATAGTAATAGCTAGCATGTATATTGCACCTAGTAGGTGCCAGCCACTATGCTAAGTGCTTTACAAATATCTCGTTTGATCCTTACAGCAATGCTGGGAAGTAGATGCTATATTTATTATCCTCATTTTACCTTTGAAGAAAAGGTGACAAACAGGTTAAATGACTTGCCCAAGGCCACAAAACTAATAACCATCTGAGGAGGGATTTGAACTCTGGTCTTCCTGACCCCAGGTCCAGCACTATATCTACTTCACCACCTAGCTGTCTCTAACAAAATCTTCTTCCACATAACAGCCCTTTAAATAGTTATCATGCCCTTCATGTAAGTTTGCTCCAAGCTGAACACCCCAAGTTCCTTCAACCAATCTTCATATGGTATGATCAAGGTACTTCATCATCTTGGTGGCCATATTTTGGACACTTCAGTACAACATCTGTTGTATAATTAGCACAGGGCTGTTAGTTACATGAGTAACTTTTAAAATGATGGTGCTACTTTAGAATGCTTACTTTCTGGAGCTGTCAATTTTAATTAAAATTATATTCATCCCCTAAAATCTAATGACATATGAAACCAATGGATAATCAAAAATGCTAACTATCAAAAAAGATACATTTATACCTTTTAATATATTTATTGAGTAATGAGATCACAATGATAAAATTCAATATTTATGCTTAGAGTGGCAGCTTTTTTAAAAATGACCAAACATTACAAATTATGTTTTGCTGCATTATACACAGGAATGGTTTATTTTGCTTAACTAATCAGTCCCAACACCAGCCTTTAGAAATCAAAAACAATTCTTAATATATGTTTCAAAGGCATGTTGAACTTTATAATTATACACTTTCACATGAATGTGACAAAGCAAAAACTCAAGACCATGATAATAAACTAAGTACAAAATAAAACGTAGAGGACAGGCACTTTTAAGTAAGCTATTTTTCCACATAGCTTTCAGAGTTAATAATGCTTGTACATGTCATATTTCATCAAAGGGCATCAACCAAAGAAGCAAACAGTCCTTTGATGCGCAAGCACAAACATATTTAAATTCAAAATTCTGTGTCCTATTTGCAATACACGCAAGAAGATCCCTGAATTTAGAAAATACCTGGAAAAAAATGAAGAAAAAAAAAAAGCAGCCAGGAATAAAAGCATTTACAAGCATCTGAATAAGGCCTTTTAAATTTTTAAGTGAGTGTTTTAAACCCCTTCATTCTCAGGTAAGGGATTAAGAGGCCGAGAGATATATCGTCTGCGAGGGTGAGGATACTGGAGGTTGGCAGTGTCAGCATCACAAGAGTGCTCTATCAGAGGAGGAGGAGGAGGAGGAGGAGGAGGAGGAGGAAGGATCTGGGCATAACTGGACCATCTCGATCCAGCCCGTGGGGAATCCAGAGGGGGAAAGAAATACCTGAAACAATGAAGACAGGAACAAAACACCAAAACAAACAAACAAAAAAAAAACAGAAGAAAAAAGAGAAAAGTAGTAAATACAAGGAGAACCAAAGAGGAGAAAAGACATGCTGGAAAAAAAAGCTTTAGTATATCCATGCCAAAACTAACAGAACATAATAGCAGAAATTAAGGCCCTAATTCAAAATCAAGACTGCTTAAGCAAGTTTGGAAACTTTAAAAAAAACACACACACACAAGGTACAATCTTTTTTAAAAAAAATGCTTTTTAAAGCCCAGTATGGGTTGGCATTTTGTTTTTGTTTTAAAGATAATCTTGAAAATTTAAAGGATTTTCTAGTCCAATTACCCACACCTTATTTGATTCTCACTTAGCTGAGCTTTAGTAATGCTTCATTTGTAGCAGCAGCACGAGGCACACATTTTATCCAAGTGCATCCACAATACTAAGAACCAATTAAAAAAAACTTTCACATAGTATCGGTAGGTATCACAACACTTTAATGACTATCTCTCACAGAAATACAATCATAATGTGTACTTACATGTTCTTCCTGCAAAAAACACAGTATAGCTACAGATTTCTAAGTGAAAGGCTAAAAGAATTATGCCAAATCATGTTGTATTCTTCTATCACTTGATTATAACTTACCCGTAATACTTATGTACTTTAGTACACTTGAATTATAGATATTAACTGTAAGGTTTAGAGCTCTGGGGAACATTTACTGAATGAAACAGCCAAATAAGAAAATCCTGGGACATGCTACCTTGAAGCTTCATTTACATGCTGCACTTTTAGTCAATTTTAAGTGCTTCCCAATTTACAGTACCTTTTAGAATTTGTACTTGGAGGAAACCTTACTCCATGGAATCACACCATAGGAACATACAAGCACATGGTAAAAAAATTCTCTTTAGTGAACACTAATAAAAAACACTTACAAAAACAGTTTTATAATATATAAATGAATACCAAACAATAAATTTAACTATCAACTGTACAGTTAAATTACTGTCAGTGCATTCTAATTCCTTTAATGCTAACAAATTTCAAATGTTACAAACTAATTACAAGTTATACCAAATATTAATATGAATAAATCAAGACTACAAAGTGTAAAACAAATTAGCACTCAAAACAATCTTTATGAAAATTGATGATTTATTCAATCTTCAAATTTAAAAATTATAAAAATTCACCATCCTGTTTATATCGTTTTGGGAAACAAAACCAACAAAAGAGGTCTATTATCTTCCAAATGGAGTAATGTGAGTTCTCTCCCCCCTCATACCCACAAAGACAACAATCCTTTTTTTTTCCTATACCCATAATATTTAGTTTCACAAATATTCCAAAGAACTTTAGTGAAAATCTGTCTCAACAAGAAGCCTCTCCCTTTAATTTTCAAAAGTTCCATTAGTGTCAACAAATGGCACTGGCTAGTACAGAAACAGTGTATTTTTTTTAAAGGCCTTTAGGGTTGCGTTTAGGAGTGAGCAGGCTGCTGGTGTATCTTGGGAGAGGTCAAACGGCGCTGGGGAGGGGGAAAAGGAGCTTGCTTCCCATTCCTGTGTGCATGCAAGAAGCAGCAAAACTGCAAAGTTACTCCAGTTAAGCTTGAGATCAGCTGTGCTTTCTGTTAAAGGACATAATACAAATGGAGAAGGGAAAATGCATCACAGATCTAAACACACATGGTTATTACTGGCACAATAAGACTATAGATTAAAATTTGAAAAGTTACTGACAAGCTTAAAATTAAAACTACACAAAAGGACGGATAACCACTCTTGTTGAGTCATCATTAGAGCTCCACACTTGGGAAAGCCATCTTCATGAATGAATTTCACACTGAAATTAACCTTACTTTTAGTGAAATTAAAAATAAACTCCAGAATCAAATCATATGGCTTTTGTATATAACTTTTGCAATTTGAAAACTGTTATATCCAGCTTACAATTGATTAAATTGCACTTATTTATATAAGGTCATAAAATAACCAGATGTCAGGTCACTAAAGTTATAATCTGACACCCATCTTTAGAAGTACACAATTAAAGCAATGATAAAATAATATTCTCATCTCTATTTAATTTGGAATATGAAAATAATTATTCTTCTTCACAGCATTAAGCACTATCAAAAATTCAGTAAAATGGAATCACCAAATATGCTATGTGAAACACCAGAAATATTCTGTTTCCTACTAACATTCTAAAACTAGGAATTAAGAAATCAGATTTTCTTTGCTCTCTTCTATTGTAGTCTCCACTCTAATTTGTTGGCAAAACTAAAATAATTAAGTTCAAAGATAACAGAAAACCCTACCAACTCAATATCTCTAGACTTTAAGTGATGACATTCTTTTAAAAGAATAAGTCAATCTGCATAGGCTCACTGGCAATACAAAATAAATTCTCTATAACAATAGTACTAATGCCATCAAGCACTATTTCATTTTTCTTACTACTTCAAAATCAAAGTACCTTCAAAGTAAGCCATTTAATTCCTAAAGACAGATCATTAAACTTCTACAGATAATTCAGCTTACTTTGTAGCTGTGATAGCTTTATCAACTAAGTAGAAATATACTGGAATTGTCATATTATTCAAGATGAGTTTTTAAACAACAAATGAGTAATTTTGAGGGTTCTTTATACCATCTTCAATATCATAAAACAACCATCAGATTTCTTTTTAGTACAGCTACCAGAATGGAAATCTGTAAAGAAACTGCTATCTTAAAATTCCCAAGCTCACACACAAAACAGCCTACCTGCTAGCTGATGATCCATTTAATGAATTTTGTAGATTTGGATTGTTTGACCCTAAAGAAGTATTTGAGATTCCCTGTTGAGAAGAGCTCCCATTGACTGGGCTCCCATTACCTTTCAAAATACCAGTGCACTTCCAATTGTCCATATAATTAGCTGGGGGGGAAAGGTGAAATAAATTAATAGTTAATTACTCAAGGGGACAAATTAATTTCTCTCCCAAAAGAGTACATCAAACATATAAACGTACAGGTGACATTTACTTTAAGCTCAAGCATTAATAAATAATTATGATGAAAGAAAACAAATTCACTCAAAAATTTTTTTAAAATTGATATTTCATGCTACTTGTTTACCATTATTCCAAAAGACACCAATTGAAAAAAATTCAACTATGACAGCTGAGAATTTAAATAAATATTTACTGTGAAGCAAAACAGAAAATTAGGTTAAAAATTCCATTCCCAAAAAACTAATAATTATAACTTGTGAGAGAAATTATTTTTCTATTATATTAACAACCAATTATTAAATTAAGATTAAAGCTTTTTCTCCTTTATTTCCTCATTTAGGGCCCAGCCCCTGTGGGTCAATCAGTCAGTCTCTGAAGGACATGGCTGACAGATGTCCCACACAACTAGGAGACCATACCTCTGTTTATAATGCAAACAAAATCTAATCTAGGAAAATTCTTGCCCTTAAGAAATTAGCCCCAGTCCTTGTACCCCTTTATTGGAGTTTAGGGTGATCCAGATGATGAAGGAAAAAATCAAACAGAGTGGTCAGAATGGAGATGAATTCCCCTGTCCAGACTGCTGGAGGCGGCCAAGTCTCATGAGCAAGCCACATTCTCAACAGAAGCTGAAGACTTCTAGCCCACCACCTCATTAAATGTCCACCAATCAAGGTTGACTTCCACTGATCAGGGGTACTCCCTTTCAAAAAAATATTGAAGCATTCAGTGTCTCCATTAGGGGTCTTTGGTTACTGAGAGAAACCACTGATTATTAATTACCCAGGAACTCTATCTTTCTGGTTTTTCATTCATCACACATTGTTCAGTCGTTTGTCATGTATGACTCTGTGACCCCCATGGACCACACTCTCTATGGGGTTTTCTTGGCAAAGACAGTGGAGTAGTTTGCCATTTCCTTTTCCAGTAGATTAAGGCAAACAGAGAGGTTAAATGACTTGGCCAGGGTCACACAGCTACTAAGCATCAGAGGTCGAATTTGAACTCAGGTCTTCCTGACTCTAGACCTAACACTCTATCTACTGAGCCACCTACACCTCCTATTTTTTTCTCGTTGTAGATAAAGTATATTTTGTAATAGTTTAGCCCATGTTTGAAAAGCTCCCTTTGTTTAAAATAGAAACTTAGTAAAAAAAAATTATTTTAGTCATTACTGTGTTAAAGTGAATTTTCTAACAGTAAAGGAATTTCTCATTCTTAGTTATGAGAAATAACTACAAAAAGATACTCTACCCATAATGCAACTGTCATTCACTGAACTCTTACCTTTCCACAATCTTACACAACCATCATCTCCAGATGATGCTAGTACTGTTCCCGTTATATTCCAACTCACTCGCCAAACCTGAGAGTTGTGATTATCAAATTGAGCTACTATATGAATCTCAAATTTTGTTGGTCCACCAGAAGAAGTTAATTCTTTCCTATTAAAGAAAAAGTCTTACTGAGGCATTCTGCAAAGGAATTTAACAACATGTTCAAAATAAAAAATCCAAATTATCCAAAAATGTAAAAGACTACATCCCAAAAAGGTTAAAAAGTTAAAAGGAATAACAAAACAAAAAAAAGCTTCAGTTAAAATAGTCAACTTCTTAACTTTCCACAGTAAATTTATTAATATCTGAAACTCAAAATGAGTCTAATCATCAATAGATATATGCCTAAGGAATTTAAACCACTGAACTAATTATACTAAGCACAACATAAGGAAAGTAAATCTACTCCCACCCTAAAAATATGACGCATTTCTACAGAGTTTAAATTTTCTTTTAATTACCATTTCAGATTATCAGTACTCATTTCTTGCCAACCAACTATAGTATCTTACTTAAAAACTGCTCCAAAAACTCACCTCACAGGTTTTAGCGTGAAAATTCTCACATCTTTAGTTGCTACTGCTAGGATATGGAATGATCTTCCCAAGTTTGGAGCAAATGAGATATCATGTACAGGATCAGTGACTGTCATAAGGGATTCTGCTTTTGCATATTTCCTAAGAAAATTCAAATCATTTGCATGAAGTACTCCACAAGAAAAATAAAATCTGTACTAAAATATCATGTTCTATCATTTCAGACTGCAAGCACTCTGTAACAGAATTATTTTTTATAATTCTTCTCTTCTATAGTCAACTAACACTTAATCCAGACTCCCAAATGGCTTCCTTTACGATTTAAAGTTTAATTTAACACACTTCAAATAAAATATCCAGAGTAAAAATTACATTAAAATTGTATCTCAGTTTAATAGTCATTAATACGTGTTAGTATAAGAAAATTTCTCAAGAAATATAAATTGTACAGTCTTTCAAGATCCTACCATCATTCAGTACTGTAACAATGCAGGTACTCATCAAGACCATGGTCTTATTTAAACTATAAAATTACTTTTGGATACAAACAGAACAAATTAATTTGCTAATCCCTGTTTCCTGTAAGTGAATTGGGTTAGTATTTGCTAAAGGTCAACTCTGTATTGGCAACAAGATGAGGTACAATATAATTTATTCTCAAGTATTCTTCACACAGATATGGTACCTACATAATGGACCATAAATAGATATGACTGATTCAGTAGTGAGCAGAATACAATTTACTTGAGTAAAAATTCTTTAAAGATAAAAATTATATACAAATTAAAAAGAAAAACAAATTTTGACTCTAGACTAATAGCTTACCTGGTGTTTTCATTATATTCATAAATCTGAACCTTAGCAGATACATTTGGACTATTGTCATCACTTCCTACAGCTATCATAGGTGAATGAGCACGAGAACTAGAAATGAAAAGTAAACAAATTACACAGTATTATGATTATAATGATTAACAATGACTGATAGCTGACTTTATATATCCATTTTCACCTCATTTAGCAAAGTAGAACTTGGACATAGTAGAGCTAAGTAGCTACATAATTAAAAATTATGGAACAATTACCTTGTTGACCCATCTGGGATTCAACTATCTTTGAGGGATAGGTTCTTGCACTGAAGTTTAGGGATATATTTATTCATTTTAAAACATGTTACCAATTATGAGCTATGTAATCTAATAGATATAAAGATAATACACAATATGTGTTTTCAAAAAATTTACAATATAGTCAATGATTGTAACAGTTCATTGGGATATCTGGAGTGGTATAATGGAAAGAGCACTAGATTTGGAGTCAAAGGACGTGAATACATGTGGTTCTGCCTTTTACTAGCAGTATTAAAAAAATCTTTAACCAGTAACTCTCTGAGTCTGCTTATCTAAGAAGTAATGGGAATAATAATAGCACTACTCACCTCCCAAGAGTTTTTGTAATAGCTTTGTAAATAATTAAATGCTATAACTTATTATTATTACATCATTCATGTCAGACCTTTCTGGATTTGCCTTCTCCCACAAAAAAAGGCTTCAAACATTTGACAATCAAGAACAGAAGATATAAAGATATGAAACAATTTCCTCTTATTAAGAAGAAAGATTTGGTCAAAACAACAAAGCAGCCTTTTGTGGAGATGGGATACTATGGGTGCAGGACATCACATTTACTGTCAGATGTATTGTTTGGTTTTGATGAACTTTTTTTCTTTGTTTTTTAATCTTTGTTACTCAAGAACGAGTTGCTAGGTAGGGAAGAGGGAAAGAAAATATTTAGAAATGTTAGGTCATTAAAAACAAAAACTATCCATAATACAAGATTTTAAAAAGTAGACTCTTAGGATACAGACAAATTGTGACAGTAAGTAGAAATAAACTGGCTATTTTGGCAAAGCAGAATCCAGATCCAGGAGTAACAGCAGAAGAGAACAGAAAAACAGCCTCCTCCCCAGAATGTCACTCTTAGTTCCAGATTTATCCTATGGACAACTGCACTTCCAGAAGGAAGAAGGGAAATTCAATTTAATCCAACAAATACTGAGTGCAAGGCACTCTGCTAGGTCCAATAGGAGATACAAAGACAGTTAAGACATAGTCCATACTCTTTCTGGGAAGTAGGATTCTATGCAGGGTAGTACTTATCATGAAATTATAGACTTTTCAACTGCCATCTTCCTAGGTCCTCACTTTTGTACCTTTTCCATAACTATAGATTCTCAAAGATATTTCTAAAGAATTCACTACCTTGGCTTGAGTTTCACTGACTTTCCTGCCCCTTAAAAATGAAAACAAAATGGAATCATAAAAGTCAACATAAAGGAAGAAGCTGTTTATTCTATCTTCAATTAATAATGGCATAACTGATATGAATAGTCAAATAGTTTTAATATTGTGGAGGCAGATTGTGGGGTACCAGGTCTGAGTCACAAGTTAGTCTAAGTTTTACTTCTCACACTGTCAACCTATGAGAATATAAATCACATTTACAATTCTATACTATAAATAATGTAACTAAAAATTTCAAAAGGTTTATTGTTAATATGCCATGCTGCTATTTCTCAGGACATGCTTTAAAGAAAAGGCTCTTTAATTACAAAACATTTTATGGAGAATTTGAGGTGCTAATATTAAAAGGCAAGCATCTTTTCTACTAGAAAGATGTGACAAGTTAAATTGTAGATTTCCACAGTAGGTCATTCAGAAATCAGACTTTCCAAACTTAAATTTTTTTTAGATTTTCTTAGGCATAGAAACAAAGCAAATTATCAAGCGACTGCCTTTTAAGAAAAAAAACCTTATGGCTCACCTTGAGGGATTCCATGAAATACAACTACAGCTTAGTTTACAGGAGATTTCATGCTGCAGCGACCACTGACTAAGATTCATAACATCTGGAGCCTCATATATTCTCACGACGCCATCTGCTGAGCAGGTCGCTAACATGAGACCCATATGCTTAGGAGCGAACTTCACATCAGTGACCGATGTTCTGCTATCCACCAAAGTGGTCCTCTTAACCTAAAAGAAACAAATGAACAAAGCACTCAGATATATCAAGTCAACAAGCATTTATTAAGTGCTTACCATGTGCCAGGCAATGTGCTAAGCATCAAATCACCTTTTATTCCCTATTAAGTATCTTCCGCAAAGTCCTAATCAAAGGTGTGCAGGTGACCCTTGTTTCTTGAAGGCCGTACCAGGACAGTGCTATCTCTGGTAAGTAAAATAACACAGCAAAAGCTTTACGTTCAATCCTGACCCCAGACTGAATGTGGTCTGAAGACAGACCGAGATAAATACAAAAAAACTCATCTCCAATAGGCTGGCTGCTTGACGATGAACTCTTTGCACATGACTATCCATAAACAAAGAAGACTACAAAAGCAGCCTTTGGTTTTGTATAATCCTTTTTCCCTTCCACAATAGTGGTAGAATGGCAAAAAAGAAGACAAGGAGTACAAAGAATCACACAGTTTTTAGACCAGCTATGAACATTAAGTACTCTAAATGTGAGATCTCTGTCAAATACTGTAAATGGACATACTATTAGAAAACTGAACAATATTGATAACGTTGATTAAAAAAAAAACAAAACCAGAGGACAATAAGAAAGCAGTTTACAATTTCTCCTTGAAGAGGAGAAAGGAATTGATAGAGTTGGTTTCACTGTATATGTACCCAAGGAAAACAAGAAACATTATTTTCTGGTACACTTGATGAAGTGTTTGAGATAAACATAAAATAAAAAGATCACCAAGGAGATAAGTGTAGCTTATGTACCAACAGCTACTGCAGAAGATGAAGTAGAGAAATTCTATGAAAATCTTGAGAAGATCCTCCAAGTCAGTAAATATTTGGTCACTCCTTAACTTCAGTAAAAGTAGGCATAGAAGAGAGTTTTTAAAAATATGGAGTAAGTTTGAAAAAAGAGAAAGGGCAAAGGCTTGCAGAGTTCTCAGAAGTCTCATACCCATTTATCATAAACATTCTCCTTCAGAAAAAAGTCCAATTAGACACTATTGAACATGGTGAGTGAGCACTAATCACAAAAATAAAATAGACTATCTTAACACAGAAGAAATAACTGGTTACTGATACGCAAGTCAGATCAGAATCTGATGTCGATGAGTAGTCAGACCATCAACTAGCTAGAGCGGAGACGAAAATCAACATGAAATTAGAAAAAAAAAAAGATGAAATGATCCCCCCACCTCAATCACAACTTCAGATCTATTCAAATTAACCATTAGTGCCAAAAAATGAGAAATGAAAAAAGGCAAAGAGATTTATCACCATTTTGTCAAAGTTCAACTGATGTAAAGCAGTAACTACAGGGAAGACCAAAAGTCCAGAAACCAACTTAGTCAATAAAGCCCTGATCTCCTTGATTGGCCTTGCTGTTCCATGAACAATACAATGCAAGTTGAAAAGTGATGAAAATAGTGGGAAAGGAAAGAAGGAAGGAGGGAGGAAAGGATGAAGGGAAGGAGGGAACAAGAAAGGAAGGAGAGAAGAAGAAGAGGGCAGTGTGTTTTGATGGGGTGTGGTAAAGTGTCATAAATAATAATCTGCAAAGCTTCTCATCAGGGGCATGTGATCTACTAGCACAAGACTCACCCAATGACTCTGTCCTCGAAGTTTATCATTGGATTCTCCCACTATTTCTTCCCAAACAGCAGCAGTTCTGTCAAAAGAACAGGAAGCCAAAACCTGTCCAAATTCAGGATGTGCCCATGTCACACGCCATACAGAACCACTGTGTGTCTGAAAGGAAAAAAAACAGCATTCTAAGGGGAAAAAAACCTCACAATGACTCACAAAAGAAGTTATAACAATATTCCCACACTTTTTTGCATAACATTACTCCCCCCTCCCCATGGCTCAGCACCAGCACTTATGAGTAGGAAGGCCATTCTATTTCCTCTATGCACCCAGGGCAGTCAAGTCTGGTTTTTTTCCTGAAAAAAGTTAATATGCCATGCTGCTATTTCTCAGGACATGCTTTAAAGAAAAGGCTCTTTAATTACAAAACATTTTATGGAGAATTTGAGGTGCTAATATTAAAAGGCAAGCATCTTTTCTACTAGAAAGATGTGACCTACTATGATCCTTTATACTCCCAAAGAACCACTATCATCTACTTGTACCACTATATTTCCCCATGGTATCTATATGAAAAAAAGGAAAGAGAAAGGAAACACGAAGAGAGATGAATACTTTTTACCCCATTTGTTCTCTATTTTTGCTAATATTCAAACCCTTGAAAAACCTCAAAAAGACTGTATGTGTGCTTCAGAAACAGAAGAGGAGGGGAGAAATTCAGATACTGAACTCCATTTCACAAAAGCTAGAAAAGACAAACTACTATGATTGGATGAGGTAGGTCAATCAATAGCTGGTTCTCATTGAGAAGTATTTCCAGTAATTTAAGTAGGAGGTCCTAGATTGGCACTACTCTTTACCCCTCCTCTTCAAGAGTTCCTGTCCTTGATACCTTCCCAACCCCACTGCAGTCACCATTGCCACTTGGAATTGGAAGAATCTGCAGTCTCACTGCATGATGAGAAGTGACAAGAGGCAGTTCTTGATCCCACTGCCAAGATGGAACCGGAAAAGATAGAAGGCATGATCTTGGTTCTCTGAATGCTTTTTCCCACAGAAACATCATTATACACTGTACTCATACAGTGAGTATAATACAGCACAAATACTATACCTAAGCTATATTACAGAGGTTAAAACTTTTGTGTGTGGGTCATGGAAATTGTCATTTATAATAACATTGTTTTTAATCGGAAAATGTATTCTGCTTCCACACAACTGACTTACAAAATCAACTTCTGGAAGAGAGCCTATTTCTATGTTAATATATGTTTCAGAATTACAGACATAAGCCTTTTTCACATTAAATTACAAATCAGAGCACTTCCTTTCATCCCAATATTTCCTACAAGTTGCAAATGTCATTATTCAGGGTTGAACAAGCTATCTTTACTTCACTGTCTAGTGATCATCTCATCTAGGAATTCACTAGTACTTAAAAAAAACACAGTAGAACTGAGACTTTGCCTATATATTTGACTTAAGATGTTACCTAGAAAAAGTGCCCCATGAAAAGAGATCCTCCTTAATCTTAGTACCTTCCTTTTGAGACTACTCCCAATTTCTCCTGCTTTTTGCTTGTTTGTACAAAGTTGTTTGCATGTTATATCTCCTATTACATGGTGAGCTCCTTGAGAAAAGGTATGGTGTTTTGCCTTTCTTCGTATTTAGCATAGTGTCCAACACACAGTGGGCACTTAATAAATGTTAGTTGACTGCCTACCTATAAAATGGTAATGTTAATTATCCTAACAAACAAATCAATCTTTACCTGATCTTGTGCTCATACATTTTCAGTTTTTTTTACTCTCACTGTTTTAGATTTGTGTACTATGTACATGGTAAAGAATAGGAAAGTTTCAATACATCTCATCACTAGTAGGATGGAATTTAAAACACTGAAAAAAGTCCCACAAATATTCTCTCCAAGGACTGAATAGCAACACCATTAAGTCAAAGTTAAATATTTAAATTTAGTATAGCATGGCAAAGTATTATCCAAAACAATCAAAATTATTTTTTAAAATTACAGTTAAAATCAGTATTTACCTTCCAGCTAGCAGTACAATGCCAATCCCCACTTTCACTTTTGTCCCAGACCTGTAAGAAAATCAAGATTTATCATCAACACCTGTGTACCTTCAGTAAGAAAAGTATTTTAGAGAAAACAAATGCCAAGTGAATATAAAATACATGCAAATAATATCAATGTACTACAATGGAAAGGCCTCAGGATTTATAACCAGAGGAACTGGTTTTGAATTCCAAAGCTCTGCCATTTACTACTTTTGTAATTTTGGGCAAGTCACTTAACTTATCTGGCCCTCAGTTTCCTCATTTGTAAAATGAAAGAGTTAGGTTAAACAACCTCAAGATTATTTCCAGATTTAAAACTATGTTATTATAATCTTTCTTTGAAAATTATGCATTTGTCCTGTGTATTTCTTTATAAAACAAAAAAAAATTATTTGGTAAGGTATCCCAAGTTACCCAGTTATTCTAAATAATTAAATGAAAATAACTTCTATCCTCTGAGACAATATTTGACACCTTTACTGTATTATGAAACCGGTATTGAAAGTTACTGCTTTTTAGAGTTTCAACTATATGTCACTGTTTGCTCCAATAGATACATGGTTAAATCCAAGCTATGAACAACCACCAAATGAAAAAATGCTCCAAATCAATAATAAAGAAATACAAATTGAAACAAATTTAAGGTATCACCTCACACCCATTAGATTAGCAAAGACATCAAAAAAGAAAAATGACAAATGTAGGAGGTGCTGCAGAGAAACAAGGACACTAGAGCATTGTTGGTAGAGCTATGAATTGGTCCAGCCATTCTGGAAAACAACTTGGAACTATACCCAGAAAGCTACTAAACTGTGCACACCCTTTGGTGCAAACCCTTGGGTCCAGCTATACTACTACTAGGACTATAACCCAAAGACATCAAAGTTAAGAGGAAAATACACCTATCTGTACAAAAATATTTATAACAGCTTTTTTGATAGTAGCCAAAAACTGGAAACTAAGGGGCTTTCCTACTCTTGGGAAATAAATAAACCACAATGTAAGAACGTAATGGGATATTATTGTGTCTTAAACAATGAAATGGCCAGTTTTAGATGATGAAATGGACAATTTTAGAAGAAACTGGGAGATCTCCTTTAACTGACACAGAGCAAAGTGAGTAGAACTAGGAGAACAATTTATACAATAACGTTGTAGAGAAAAACTTGGAAAGAATTTAGAACTCTGATCAATGCAATGGTAAAACAGGAATCCAGAAGACTAATTCACCTGCTGCCATAGAGGTGATGAACTTAAAATGCATTTGTAGGCATGTCCAGTTTGAAAACTGTATCCTTGGACTGCATATTTACGATAGAGGTTATGTGGTTGTTGTTCAATGTTGAGGTGGGGGAAGGCAAGGTAAGAGGTAATGACTGGGACAGATTACAAATGCATGTGAAAAAGATTTTTTTTTTCTAAATAGGAAATAATATGGGCAGCTAGGTGGCACAGTGGATAGAGTGCTGGGCCTGAAGTCAGAAAGACTTCTCCCTGCATTCAAATCTGGCCTCATATACTAACTGTGTGACCCTGGACAAGTCACTTAACCCTGTTTTCCTCAGTTTCCTCATCTGTAAAATGAGCTGGAAAAGGAAACAAAACCTCTCTAGTATCTCTGGCAAGAAAACCTCAAATGAAGTCACAGAATCAGACACAACTCAAAATGACTAAACAACAAAGAAAATAATACAAGCAAGTAACTGAGAATCTCTTAGAATAAGAAAAATCTAGATAATCCTCCATTATGGATACCACAGAAAACTAAATTATGTAGAACAAATTAGAATTGGAAAAGACAGGTTAAGAAAAAAATCAACTATACTCAAGTGTCCTTCACCTGGATGTAAATATTACTAATCTTCAGTCCTATATCTAGGTAGTTCTGAAACTTTAAATATAAGTAGCATTCAACACAATTTTATCACATTAAGTTTAGCTATTCTGGCAGCATGTAAAAATTCTGAAGTAGTCAAGTTCATAAAACAAAAACTCTAGAACACATTTCAAATCATATTTAAGTAACAAATACGTGCATCAAAGAATTGGATTTTAAAAAGAGCCTTAGGTGGTACAGTGGATAGAGCACCAGCCCTGGGGTCAGAAGGACCTGAGTTCAAATCCGGCCTCAGACACTTGACATTTACTAGCTGTGTAACCCTGGCCAAGTCACTTAATCCCATTGTCTAGCCAAAAAAAAAGAAAAAAAAGAAACAACAAAAGGAGCCTTAGAATCATAATAAATTCGTCGGGTATAAGCTTATTTACATATTTTTCCATCATGAAAACTGTATTAAGGTGCAAAATGAGTAAAAGTTTTATAACAAAGACTCTTCTATTCTAAATCGGAATATCTAACTAAAATTACTTAAGTCTTTTCCCTTAGTCTCACCAATACAAGGGTCTTTAGTAACGGAAGCCTACATTTTACACATATGAAACCTAAACAGCCACAGGATTTGATTAATCTCTTGAAATGGATGGAAAGGGTACTAGATGTGGTTCCCCCAACCCCAATATTCAATAAATATGGCCAATGCTACTCTAGGTACTGGAATTAATCTCACGAAAGACACTCGATTAATTAAATGAGAGAAAAATATTATCTTGTAAACTTGTTCAGTTTCTTACACAGTCCTCTTTCTTGTTCTTTGTATATTGAAATGTGTTGGGTTTTTTTGTTTGTTGAGGATTAAATTCACAATAAAAAAGTGTTTTTAAAAGAAGTAAAATGCCTTCGCGTTTGCCTGGTTTGGGTTTCGGAAAGAAAGCAAGCCCCGCTTTCTGGCGGAGCACCGACTCCCAGGCTGGAAGCCGAGCAGCGGCCCGGCCCGCGCGCAGCCTGGGAGAGGGGCCGGGGCCGCGGCCACCCCCTGGGGTCACGAGCGCCCACCCCGGCGGGGCTTCGCAGCGCGCGGACCTCAGTCCCGCAGGTCGGGCGGAAGACGGGAAACAATGTTACCCCGGGCTCTCCCTCCCCGCCCCCATTTCGTCGCTTCTGCGCACGCGCCCTGAACTCCCGCAGCGGAGGCTGCGCCGGTAGGCAGCCCGAGAAGCCGCGCCGAGTCCGGCCGCATTAAGGCCCGCGGGCGGGCAGGCGTTCCCAAAGCGAGGCTCTGGCTCCGCGCCCCGCCGCCGCAGCCCGAAGACGCGACTCATTTCTCTCTGCTCGTTCTTTTCCCACAGGCCTCTCTCCCTCACCTTCACACTCTGGTCACTGGAGCAAGTCGCCATCCGCCGCCCGTGGAAGTCAAAGGACACATCATGGATGAGATCCTTGTGATCCGCCGCGATACTGCGCGCTACGAACATCGCTGCCGCCACGGCGGGGTTACCGCCTACTCGGCTCCTGCCTTGAGCCTCAGACTTCCGAAGGCCGTTCCTGGCGCACGCGGGCCCTCCATGCACTGGGCGTCCCAAGCAGCGCACAGCCAGGGAAAACGCGCATGCGCGCTCCCAGCCCCGCACCCTCTAAGTGGGATCCCGTGAGAAAGAGCGCTTCCCCGCAGTGCCAGCATGGGGCGCTCTAGCTACCAACAGCTAGCTAGCTCTTGGTGCTGGCATCACGTCTCCGCCCCCCCACCCCCTCCACCCCCTCCTCCCGCGCGAGAAAGGGGCAGGAAAGGGCTGGAGTCAAGCGAAGGCATAGTTTGTATTGTTTTAATTTTCTTTTTCCTGGTGAAGTTAAAAATCGTCAATAAAAACAAACCTTTCCTCATAGAAAGAACAAAGAAGACGTTTGGTTAAACTGAAGTTCTGATAAAGTTTGTGCTTTTTAAAAAAAAATAGATAAAAAGGCAGTAACACAGCTCAGCTCTTTCTGTACTTTTCTATTTACTTCTGTGCAGCTTTTTAAAAGTTTGATTAATGTTATTGATATTCTTTGCCATTACCCACCCGTGTTATTTATTGGCCTTGTGACGTTGGGCAAATTACTTAACCTCTTAATGCTGTACACGACTCTGGAAGAGTCTAAATTGCACATGTGCCAACCAACAATGGTAGAGGGAGTTTCCTCTCGCGGGGGTTTTCTCACCTCTATCAATGAAATTGTCGATCTAGACCCTATCCCCCTATTGCTAACCACTGACCTATCCCACTCCTGCAGTAGAAAGACTCCATTGTAATACTGTATGCAAGCATGGGCACCTGTAGCACAACTGGCCCTGGAGTCAGGAAGCTTTATCTTTCCTAGTTCCAATCCAGCCGCTAACACTTGCTCACATATCTGTGTCCCTGGCCAAGTCACTTAATTCAGTTTCCTTACCTATCTTTAAAGTTGTTTTCTTTCATTTTTTTTTTTTTGTTGTGTTGTAAATTGTTCCCCTGGTTCTGTTCATTTCACTGCATCAGTTTGTACAAGTTTTTAAATAAATAATATAGAAATTCTTTAGAGACCACAAAATGGCTTATTTAGAATTCTAAAGAACTGTTGAAAACCCAAAGCACCAACATAACCGGTCCAAGACACTATTGATCGATCCACTTAGGTACTGAAAAGTCTAAAGGGTATACCAGGAGTTCTTATCAGAAGTCCATGGATAGATTTCAAGAGATCCATGAACTTGGAAGGGGAAAATATTAAATGTTTGTTTTCACTAACCATTGGTTTCCTTTGTAATCTTATTTTATTTTATGTATTTAAAAATATTCTGAAAAGAGGTGTATAGGTTTCACCAGAGTCCCACAGTAGTCCATGACCTAGAGGCAAAAGATTAAGAACCCTTGGTGTAGGCTTTAGGAGAGAACAGCTAACATGATCAGTATTGAAAAATAAATAATGTATGAAACTGAATTGTAGAGACAAGATGAAATATTTATTTATGCCAGTTATACATTCATATGTGTACATACATGTCATATTTTATGATATACAATATACAATAATGTAACAATTATGACTAACAAAGCTTTCTAATATTCTACCATATCAATAGCAAGGCCTGCCAAAGGCTTCTATATATTATCCTACAATATAGCTTAGCTCAGTTCCTGTAGAGCACAGACCCAAATTCCAAGTCCAAACTCACCTTCTGGCTTAAGACCTAGGAACACTGGTTTCTCTTTGGCTTCTTCTGTCAGGCTGATTGGCTGCAATATTTTACCTGCTCCCAGGTCAATGTGGTTCAGTGGGGATTACCACAGCATGTGAAATTAAGGACAAATAACACCAAACAAAGCAAACACTAGCCATGGGGTGAAAGGAGGCCCAGGAAGGAAGGACACAAGCCCTCTTCGTGTTCATGGCAACCAAACCGTGGGTAAACTATGATCTTCATCTTCTGAATGACAATAGGAAAGAGCATGCAAGAAGAGAGCAACTGTCCCAGTCTGGCGGTTTTAAAAGATGCAGTCTGTTCTGCTTACACAGCCAATCCGAGGAGGATATTCTTATGAAAATGCAGAGAAGCTGGGTGCTGTTTGGCAGTCTGGGCGTGCATACAGCAAGGCCCTTTACATTTATCAACCTCATTGTTTGGGTTAGGTGTAACTTCCTGAACAATAATGAAGAAGGGTTACCAATAGTATCTTTATGTATTCAGCCCTTTGTTTCTTTCTGTATATGGAATCTGTCACCAAATCCTATCATTTCTCTCTTAAAATGTTTCTTGGATTTAACACTTCCTTTTCACTCTTACTGACAACGTGCTAGTCCAGACCACCATTATATCATGACTAGAATTCTATAAGAACCTATTTACATCTTCTCTAATTGTCTACAGCATCACCCAAGTCATTTTCAATTTTTTTTTCTCCCAGAGCAACAGACATCCCTAAAACTCTTAAGTTTTCTATGAGGATCCAATCTTACCAATATTCCAATGACTCAACAACCATAGTCTTATTTTAGCCCAAATCAGAATCACAATGTACAGCAATGCACAGTGTCAATACTTAATCTCATATAAAGCATAAAACATTGCAATACAGTGCATATCAAATTGACATTTTAGCACCATGGGAGGAATGATGAAACATTAGCTGGTCTGCTCAGATAAAGATATCAGTGAAAAATACAATACAAAATTTTGAGGTGTCAATTACAGCCGAGAGAAAATTATAGAAAGTGATGGGGAATATCCTTAAACTTTGACAGGAGACACCGAAGTCTGCCACAGCTTTGAGCAAAGACATACCAAGGGAGGTGGAAGCCAATTACAGGAGCTCAGGAAATCAAGTTCAGGGCTTGACCATCCTTTCCCAGATTCAAGAGACATCAGACCTTGGTTCTGACACATAATCCCAAAATAGTAATTTTGGGTGGAAATAGGAGTACACAGAAGGAAACACAAAACAATCAAAAAATATTATTACTCGAGAGATATCCAAAAGATAAACCTGAAAGAAGAGAATAACTACGCAAGTGTGAGGATAGCCTCGTTGGGGCATGGTGATTGGAGGGCTTAGCCACAAGGACTACAAGAGTATTTGAAAGAAATGAGACAAGAGATAAAAAATGAAATAAAGGAAAAATTTTAAGGATATTTAATAACTTAGAACAGAAGGTAGCTCATACTTAAGTAGTAACATCCCTTAAAATTAAAATAGACTAAACAAAATTAAATCACTCTATGATACAAGATATATTAGAAGAAAATTGAAAGATTAACAAAAAAAAAAGAATCTCTAAACTATTGTAAAAAAAAAAAGTGACCTATGGGTAGCTAGGTGGTGCAGTGGGTAGAGCACCAGCCCTGGAATCAGGAGAACCTGAGTTCAAATCCGACCTCAGACACATAATACTTCCTAGCTGTGTGACCCTGGGCAAGTCACGTAACCCCAATAGCCAAAAAAAAAAAAAAAGAACCTTTATCTTATTAAAAACTGATAATGTGAGGATGAGAAAACACAATTTAAGCACACAGACTGAGGCAGTAGAGATCAGCCAGAGGCTGGGTTTGAACTCAGGTCCTCTTGACTTCAGGGCTCTATCCACCATACCACCTAGCTGCCCCTCAGCTGTTTCAACAAATAGTGAAAAATAGCAATAATATTACATTTTTTTGTTTTCTGATATGCTTGACATTTTTCAACCATTCCTTAATCCATTTTCCCTTTAAACCTATAAAAATGTAAAAAAATGATATATACAATTAAAACAGTGCTCAAAGTAATCTGATTTCCCTTTTTAAACAAAATATCTCCTGGTTTCTGTGCCAGTGACTGGTTGCCTGTTTTTTGTTTGTTTGTTTGTTTGTTTTTGGTTTGTTTGTTTTAACAATCTATTAACTGCCAAATCTAGTAGTGTTTTCTCAATCCTAAGTCTTTTTAACCTTTCTGTAGCATTGGAAACTATCAGCACTCTTCACTCTCTCTTTTTTAGGTTTTTCTGGCACTGCTTGCTCCTGGTTCTCCTATGTATCTGTCTTTGACATCTTAATTTTCTTTGCTGGTTCTTCATGCAAGTCATGTCCACTAACTGTGGTTGTCTCTCAAAGCTCTGTCCTGAGCTCTGTCCTGTTCATTTATTTATTTATTTATTTTGCTTTATACTATATCCTTGGTGATCTCATTAGCTCCCATAGATTTAATAATTATCTCTATGAAGATGATTACCAGCTCTATATATCTAGCACTAGACTCTCTCCAGAGCTACAGTCTCTTATCACCAACTGCCTCTTAGACATGTCCCATAAATACCTCAGACTCAATATGCCCAAGAGTTAATTCATTAGCTTTCCCCCAAATTCTTTCCCTCTTCCATACTTCCCTAACATCATTGAGGCCACCCACCATCATCCTTCCAGTCGATCAGGCATGTAACCTTGGTGTCAACTTTGACTCTTCACTTGCACTGACCCCACATATCCAATGTGCTGTCAAATCTTGTGTTTCTGCCTTCAAATCTCTCATATAAACCACTTCTCTTCACTCACACAGCCACTGCATTAGTCCAGGCCCTCATCATTACAATAGTCTCCTAAATGGCACTCTTACCCCAAGTCTTTTCCAACTCTAATACATTTTTCATTTAGATTCCAAGATGATTTTTCTAAAGTGTGACCTTTCTGTTCAATAAGGTCCAATGGCTATCTATTACTTCTAGAATCAAATATAAAGTCCTCATTTGGGCATTTAAAATTCATAATTTGTTTTCTTCCTACCTTCCCATTCTTCTTATATTTTCTGTCATTGGACCTCATTGGTCATGAATCATCATCAACAACAACAACAACGAGGGTTCTACGTGAAGTCTCTACACAGAGAGAAGGACTTCCAGAGCAGGAACTATGAGTTAAAACTTGTCACACATATTTCATACATGTGTGCCTCACTACTATTATGGTCTTAGTCAGGGGTGGGGGAACCTATGGCCTGGAGACCACATGTGCCTTTCTAGGTCCTTGGGTTCAGCCATTTGACTGAGTCCAAGTTCTAGAGGATAAATCCTTTTATTAAGGGGATTTGTTCTGTGAAGCTTGGATCCAGTCCACCCCTGGTCTAACTTTAAGCATACTCCTCTCATGGCTGTGTGTATTTGTGAGAAGGAGGAAATCAAGTTCTTAGAAGAGGGTTTTCTATTAACTGTGTTTACCATGTTATCTGAAAAAGTAGTAGCCGTACTCTGGAGAA